ATTCTCAAAAAAATGTCGACCAAAATACCCCTGAAATATTTTGGGGGTATTTTGGTCAATTTGTTTCATGTAAAATATTTTTTTGATATTTTTCATAGATTCACCTATATTTTATGAACATACACTTCAAATTTCATATCATTCTGATTTATAAAAAAAAAATAAATAAATAAAACGCTACCGGACAATCATTACCTTGCGATGAACTTTTTATGGTGATGAGGGTAGGCGAAATCACTGTTCATTTTCTCCTATAGGCGTTTTGTAGTATCTTCCTATATATAAGTGATAAACTATGTATTGGAAGATATGACAAAACGCCTGTAGGCGAAAATGAACAGTGATTTCGCCTACCCTCATCACCTTCCAAAGTTCATCGTACGGTCGTGATTTTCTAGTAGTGTTTCATTTTTTCATTTTTTTCTAAAAATCAAAATGATCTGAAATATGAAGCATGGGTACATATTAGTGAGGCACACCTAATAAAAATATAAAAAAATAATCCGTAAAATATAAATTGACCAAACTACCCCTGAAAATTTACAGGGCTATTTTGATCAATTTATATTCCACGAAGTACTTTTTTCATATTTTTATTAGGTGAGTCTCACTAATATGTATACACGCTCCAAATTTCAAGTAATTTGAATCTGTAGAAAACAAATGAAAATTAAAACACTACCGTGCAATTGTGACCGTACGATGAAGTGTGGATGGTGATGAGGGTAGGTGAAATAACTGTTCGTTTTTTCCTATTGGCATTGGGAAGAGTTTTCCCTATATATATATATCACGAATGTTCAGTAGTGTTTGAATTTTTTTTTTTTCTACAAATCCAAATCACTTGAAATTTTTGGGGTGTGTTCATCAAAAATAAGTGAATCTTCGAAAAATATCAAAAAAAAATTTTATGTGAAATAAATTGACCAAAATATCCCTGAAAGAATTCGGGATATTTTGGTCAATTTATTTTATAAATAATTTATTTTATATTTTTATTAGGTAGGCTTTGATAAGAAGAATATACACCTAAAATTTAAAATGATTTGGATATATAAAAATAAAATAAAATTCAAACACTATCGGACATCGGTGATTATCAGATCCGACCAGATTCAATTTGGGCCGTTGGGCTCATATGTTCATATGAGTTAGTAGGCTAAT